GTGAAAAACATATCACACATCTGGATTGCCCCTGGGATTAATTTTGGATGCCCCAAGTTTACTGCTGATAAGCTGCGTGATGCACGACAATTCTTGCGAATAGCTTCATCTCTAAAATTCCCCGAGCTATATGGTTGATGAGGAGAAATAATCTCAAGAGGATTTTACAAAAGACCTGGCATTCACCATGCTCTGATGTCTTCAAACTCTTAGAGAGATTCAATAAATCTCGACGTGATTGCCCCGAATTGACTGTAATTGGCACAACAAAGTCTTCAAATTTTTCCCCAAAAGGGTAAACAAGTTGGAGAAGCATTAACTGGGAGAAGCAACATGTTCGTGCTTACGGTCTTCAGGTGACATGCCCATGGATATGATTTTTTCTTGACGTGATCCGCCAATTACTCAACATAGTTTCAGGCCTTAAAAGAATAAACTCATCACTGGTGCTTATGTGAGCTTCCTTGATATCAAACAAATGTTTTGCAGTTAGAAAAAGTTTACAATGAGAATGAAAATTCTAATGCAACAGTTATGTAAGTCTTGAAGATTATGAAAGATATCGCACAAATTTTGCGAGCTAAAGCACCATTTATTTTTGTAAAGGAAAAACATATGATACCAACATAACTATTTAGAAAATTCATGAGAGTCAGGAACACTATCTCATTGAAGTATGCTTTCAAAATAATCTTGCTTCAATTAGGACTTTTGAAGGTTGTAACGTGGTCTGGTTCAGAGTTTTTTTAGAAAAAAGGTTTTTAAGGCTCAAAATTTATAAGTGCCCGCCCGTTCTTCATGATGTTCTTCAGTCTTATGTTCAGTTAATTCAATATGAGTGTTCATCTCTCAAAAGGATTTTGTGACGGTTAAGGAAACAACGAGGCTTTCGGAGTAGAAATCACCCTCATGTTTTCGTGTTTGCAGTCACCAATTTGTTCTTTGCCGAGGAATTTTCTTTGTAGTCCTTTCTTTGCAATTTTTATTTTCCCTAACTTTTTCCTGAACTAATTCTTTTGAATTGATAGTCCAGCGGGATGCCTTAGTTTTTGCCTAAGTCGTAAGTTTTCATGTTTTTGACTTAGCAGCCCTTTTCTTTTTCTTGATTTTTGACTTTTTGAACAAAAATGTGTGACATTAGCTTGTCTTTACTGGTTGAGAGGATTGTGACTGCCTCATTTCATGATGAATGGGGGATAACATTATGATTCCACTTCTTCTGGCTTCATTATACATGAAAGATAGCCCTCGTAGTTTCTCTTCAGAAATATCTTCCTTATGAATTTTGAACACTCAATCAGATTAACTGAAAACTACCCTGCCCCAGGTTAAAAGTTGAGGGTTTTTTCCGTATAGAAAAGAAACTTCTACTTCAAAGGCTCAAAAAGGGTTAGCAAGGGATTATCTTCCTTATATCTCCGGTGTTTAGGCATTTGAAACAATGCCTGTACATCATCAGCAAGATTTTATCCAAAAGCAAACAACCAGAGATTTTGTGTTCTTTAGATCATCATCCTCCCTTTAATCTCTGCCTAGGCAAGAGAATGGGCAACAAGTTGGTATCATAATGCAAAAAGAAATTTAAAATTTGAAAACAAACATGAGTGAAACGAATGAATTTCTTCAAGACAAACATACCCATTGTATTAAGATAATCATTCAGATGCAAACAAGTTCTTACATGCAAACAATGTTTTGATAAACAAGAAAAATTACAAAGAGCAGAAATAAGTTGATAATCTGGGAAGGCTTTCCATCTGGACTTGAATCACTGAAAACATCCTTCAAAACTCAAAGTGACCATCAATCATGTTTACTCTTCGGCACGTGCTTGATTTGAACTTCAATACCAACGTCCTTGAATGACAATTGGTGAATACTTTTATTATCGCTTCCTCCTTCTTAGAAGGATTGAGTTGGGCGACAACCAAAATTTTAACCAAAACAGTTGAGTGATCCATACCAGCTTTCAAAGTAGTCATCTCTCTACGGAGTTCAGAAACCTCTTGCTTGATATTCTCCATTGTTCTCTTAGCGCGAGTGTTGTACTGGTGAGACCAAAGGAAAAATAAGACTCGGAAAAAGACCTTTAAAAGTGAAAAAAAAAATGTTGAATGATGTATGATATGCAAAAGAGAGTTTTTATTTGATTTTCAAGGAACTCAAGATATTAAGTTGTGAACATCAAAGTATGAAGATAGAAAATGAATTTTGAATTGGATCAAAGCGTTGATCAAGTTATCATCAAGATCAATCATCCATTTTGGGGGATTAGGGTTTTCTCCCTATCAACACCCAAGATCCATTGAGCTAGAAGAAACTTGTGATGTTTACAAAGAAAGACCTCCAAATTCCTTCAAAGTCAATTGAAAAGGGTTTTATGGATGCATGAATGCATGGCTATGCAACAACCACAAGCAAGGTCACAAATAAAGTCGAAAGGTTCAACGTCACGAGCATGGAGTCAAGGTAAGGAACACCCCCAAGGTATGTACTAACAGTTTAATCACACCTGTAGAACAAGGTTCTAAGAGTTCCCGGAGTCTACATTCCTCCTTCGGATAATACCAACGTCTTGATTACTCAATAATCAGCAATATTCTCAAGAGAAACTCATCCGAGCGTAGCATCGCGTAACAATTACTTCCGGATTACTCCGTTATAAACTCCACGCTACACCTAAAAGGCCAAGATGGGTTAGGGTTCTACGGTTCCCAGCTTCTCTGGCTCCCAGGTCGAAAATAATAATGTCTTCCCGATTACTCGGTAAACAAATATTACGTTCAAAAGGGCCTTCCACTGAGTGGGGGATCCCATGCCTCCTTCTTCGGGATTACTCCCTCAAAGTTAACATGACTATACCGCCCGTCCTATTCCTAAGTGTAACTTAGTCCGGGTATAGGACTTGTCCTTTGTAAATATTATCAACACCCAAATAATCATAATATATACATATAATCAAACAATCAAATAATGATAAAACAGATAAAACAAATTAGGCTTAACCCACTTAGGGATGGACCAGCAAGAGGTCAATCTTTCCTCAGCAGAGTCGCCAATTCTGTAGCGGTGAAAATCGGAGATCAAGCTATTAATTAACTTGACTCACAAAAAGCAAGAGTCGCCACCGCGCTTTATTATTTCCAAGGGAAAAGGGAAAAGAGCGAAATAAAACCCTAAAATATGCAATGTAAAGTAATATTTAGAAGTAATGAAAATACAATGCATTTTTAAAAGAGATCGAGAGTTCGGGGGTTAGTTATACAATGGGAAGATATTAGCACCCAATGCATCTGCGGTACTCCGCAGGAACCTTTTGTAATATCCGTTTTTTGGTTAAAATTGTTTGTTTGATAAAAATGGTTAGTTTGGCTAAAAAATGGGTATGGACGAGATTTGGAAGATACGACGACCTAGTGTTGAAGTTTTGACATAAAAAAGGGTGTGAGTTTAAAAATTGATTTGTAGGAGATTTGTCTTAAGATTAACAAAACTAAAAAAAAAGTATGAAGGGATTTCACATAATCGTATTAGATATTCGATGACATGAAGTCAACAAATTAATTCTTTCCCTTGGATTTAAACCCACAGACAGATAAGTAAGCTAAGAGTATACCAAACCTTATGTGAAAATAAATCACAAGCCGACAACATAAAAAAAAAACCTGATGTGAGATAATACTCCAAGCATCAGATAAAGCGCATCAAGTGAAAATAAATTACATACGAGAAAAGCGTGTCAGGAGAGGAATCAGATAAAGCGCAAAGGCGATGGATAAAGCTCACAGTATCAGATAAGAAACCCTGCATCACAAGAGATATACCGACCAATCTAACAACACAGGAAACTTATATGCGTCCGCACAATTTTCAGAAGTTAGTTGAAAATAAAATCACAATGCGATGAAAGTAATATTTTCAAAACATGAATTTATTTACAAGTGAAGTGAATAGACAGTCAAAATATTATGTACAAGTATATATTTACAGTACCAAATATTAAATCAAAACAGTGAAATACAATAAAAAGGTAAAAGGAGAAGTGTAGGAATTATGGATGAGTTATGTGAGAATGGATACTTGAAACGATTTTTTGGAAACCTTCACAGTAACAAACGCGTTAGTAGCATAAGCGGTATAAAAATTAAAATGAATGAAATTGCAACAAGATTTGAATTTATGTTAGTAATCACAAAGTATAAAAATAAAAATGAACTTGTATGATACATATGAATAAATGAATATTTACACAAATAAAAATCAAGAATTCATGATATTGTTCAATGTAAACACACACAAAAAATCAGCATTATCAAAAGTTAGACAACAACAAATTATGCATAAAAAACTCATGAAAATTAATTTTCAAGTGATTCAAAACTTATGTACAAACACTAATATTAAACCAACAAACTTTGTGAATTGAATTCAATTTGAAACATCATCAAAACAAATTTTAAAATAACTTAAACAATAAAACAACATCAACACCGACAATTCCAAATTAATCAACTCATGCCAAAAATTACATTAAGTCCAAAAAGTGATGAAAATAAGTTTGGAGTGCAAGTTTTAACAAGGATAAATCCGGGTAGCAACTCGACAATATGTCGGTGCTCCAAAATCAAAGAAAAGTCTCAAATTCAACTTGAACAATTTAATCCAATTTCAATATCATTTTCAATACTTGAATCAACTTAAGTTAGAAGACAATGTCATCCTTAAAATTCAAAGCTAGATTCAACAACCAAAATTGACATCAATAATTTCGAACAAATACTTAGACAACAACCACAAAATCCAATTCAACACACACTTTATCATAACACCAAATTGATATCAATATTTCCATTCAATTTTAACACCAATCGCAACAATGCAAGCGTAACTCCATCGTTTAAAAAGCACAGATGACTTCAAATTAACATCTTCAATATTCAGTTTAACACAAATGGAAGAAATTAAATGCAAATGTAATAGGGAAATTGAATCTTACCAATTCACCAAAATGGAATTGGAAATGGAGTTGTTGTTGTTTGCACGAAACATGAACGCTGAGATTCGACGCGAGCAGAGGGAGCTGGGTGCTGGAAGTAGCAGAAAAAGAGGTTGCGGTTGTTGTTTTGACAGGGTGTGAAGGTTTGTCCGAACTGCCAATGAGATGGTGCCACGTTCCACGACGTTGATGTACGACGGTCACTACCGGTAACCCTAAAAGAGAGAGCCTGGCCCACAAAAACTGCATTGGATTGCCAGTTTTGCCCCCAGTTTCGGCTCATTGTCATCCATGCTGTGTTGGTTCCTTTTACACTCACACGCATGATATCCCCTGCACCCGCGACGTGGCTGATTAAAACCAAGTTGAAGTAACGAAAACCGTTGATTGTGAATCTGATGCCTCCTGTCTTTCTACATGGTACCCGGCGGTAAGCGACGGGGATGATTCCGGCGCGGTACTGAGCGATCTTGAGGAACATGGGCATGGAAAGATCGATATATTCACGGCTAGCATGCTTGCCCGTTAACCATTGCAGCGCTTCAGCGGCAACATCTTTCTCTGCACTCTTCTTATTGTTACAAGGTTGGCCCATTATCTCCACTCCATTTAACTCAACTGAAGACCGAAACTGGTTGTTCTTCAACTGTTTAGTTTTGTAGATAGGTGCAGCATATCCTGCTCTTGTAAGCAAACTTTGGAGCTGGCTTTTAGAATTATCACCCCCAGGTCCACTCTCTGTCCTTGAAACCAATGATGCTGGGTGTGAGGGGGAGATAAGTGGGTTGGAGTTAGTGAAGAGGAAAGGGAATTAGGTGGGTTGTTGTGGATGTTTGAAGAGAGGGAAAGGGTTACGGTAACTGGCGGAGGGGTATTACCGGAGGTACTGTAGATGATGCGGGTGATGGACAGTGGCGAGAGGAGGAAGGTTGGTTCGAAAGTAGTTGATGAAGGGATTTCGTGAAACAGAGGTGAGGGGTTTGAACGGATTTGGTTCGTGTATTGAAGGTGTGTTGTTAATTGTGTGGAAATTGTTTGCGTGTTTAGATTGAAGAGAGGAGGGAGGGTAGCAAGTGTGGAGAGAGGGAGTATTACTGGGTGAGTTGTTTTTGTTGTGTATAGAAGAAGAGAGGAGAGGTTACTGTGTATTGAGAGTGAGTTGTGTTTTGGTGGGTTTATGAACAGAGAACCGAGAGAGTATTTGGCCACTTCGATTGGGCTATTGAGGGTGACCCCAAGAGAGTGTGTGAAGAAAGGGTAAAAAGTGATTAATACTGTTTCGGCAATTTTGTATTGATCCTCAATTTCATCCAACAACCAATAGGAATAGAGTATAGTGTAAATAATATATTTTGTGATCAAATAGTCCTTAAATGATAAAAATAACAAAAAAACTAAATGTCTTAAAATTAACTCATTTTTAAATGATTTTTTTTGAATATTTTATGAATAAAAAATAAAGACCCAAAATGACCGAAAATGATAAAAAATGGACGAAAATTTATCCGAAAAAATAAAATGAACACATTAAAATAATCTACATGTCACAAAGATTAAAGAAAAAAATATTCAAGAAGTCAAAAAATCAAAAATAAAATAATAATAAAAATATCAGACTAAACAGACGTTTAAGGTTAAAACCGAGACTTCGAACTGTACCAAAAAAATAAAGCGAGCATACCGTCATAATCTACGCGAAGCGCAGATTCATAAAATGATCGGTAAAAGGTGAAAACTTGAAATATTTTCTCGCTACTTTCCGACATAGTGTCGAATCTCTCTTAACAGTCTGTCTATAAAACTGAAATATTTTATTATCGACATATAAACAACTTGGAGCAGTGCAAGAAAATAGTAAACAGATAAAAATGAATGAAATGAAATGTCGGGTATTTTACAACTGAAAGACGATGCAAACTTTGATTTAAACTGACATTTTCTGGTCAACTTAAATACGACTAATGATGCAAAAATGTGATGAATGAAGATATTTACTAATGATTGTGACCAAATAATAAAATATGGTATGAATGTGCGACTGAAAAAATTAGGGGCGAAATTTAGGGTGCAATAATTGTGCCTTGATGAATCAATCTTCGAGAATCCACAATCAACCGTACTTCTGGCTTGGGAGACTCAAAACCTTAATTGAGGCGCAACACCTGATGCTCTTGATTCAGACCTGTCTCTGCACATGACACAAAAGAACATGAACATACACCTTTGTATGCGATTAGAAATTAGTGATACATATGCTAAAAATGTTCAAAACACTTGACAATCTTCGCATAGTCAAAGCTCGAAGGTGAGACGTTAAAACCGACCGTATTTCGTGACCTTGACTTATCTTAAAAAATGCAAAAATAAAAATGGGATCTTAGGTCAAAAATTGGGGTACAACATTATTCCAGATTCCTTCTAGAGATAGTTCAGATGCGACCCAGATATGGCTGACATTCTGATACTTATTCCAGATGCCTTCTAGAGATAGTTCAGATGCGACCCAGATATGGCTGACATTCTGATACTTATTCCAGATTCCTTCTAGAGATAGTTCAGATGCGACCCAGATATGACTGACATTCTGATACTTATTCCAGATTCCTTCTAGAGATAGTTCAGATGCGACCCAGATATGGCTGACATTCTGATACTTATTCCAGATTCCTTCTAGAGATAGTTTAGATGCGAACCAAATATGGCTGACATTCTGATACTTATTCCAGACTACTTCTAGAGATAGTTCAGATGCGACCCAGATATGGCTGACATTCTGATACTTATTCCAGATTCCTTCTAGAGATAGTTCAGATGCGACCCAAATATGGTTGACATTCTAATACTTATTCCAGACTCCTTCTAGAGATAATTCAGATGCGACCCAGATAGTTTTCCAGACTCCTTCTAGAGATAGTTCAGATGCGACCCAGATATGGCTGACATTCTGATACTTATTCCAGATGCCTTCTAGAGATACTTCAGATGCGACCCAGATATGGCTGACATTCTGATACTTATTCCAGATTCCTTCTAGAGATAATTCAGATGCGACCCAGATATGGCTGACATTTTGATACTTATTCCAGATTCCTTCTAGAGATAGTTCAGATGGGACCCAGATATGGCTGACATTCTGATACTTATTCCAGACTCCTTCTAGAGATAGTTCAGATGCGACCCAGATATGGCTAACATTCTGATACTTATTCCAGATTCCTTCTAGAGATAGTTCAGATGCGACCCAGATATGGCTGATATTCTGATACTTATTCCAGATGCCTTCTAGAGATAGTTCAGATGCGACCCAGATATGGCTGACATTCTGATACTTATTCCAGATTCCTTCTAGAGATAGTTCAGATGCAACCCAGATATGGCTGACATTCTGATACTTATTCCAGATGCCTTCTAGAGATAGTTCAGATGCGACCCAGATATGGCTAACATTATGATACTTATTCCAGATTCCTTCTAGAGATAGTTCAGATTCGACCCAGATATGGCTGACATTCTGATACTTATTTCAGACTCCTTCTAGAGATAGTTCAGATGCGACCCAGATGTGGCTGACATTCTGATACTTATTCTAGATTCCTTCTAGAGATAGTTCAGATGCGACCCAGATATGGCTGACATTCTGATACTTATTCCAGATGCCTTCTAGAGATAGTTCAGATGCGACCCAAATATGGATGACATTCTGATACTTATTCCAGATTCCTTCTAGAGATAGTTCAGATGCAACCCAGATATGGCTGACATTCTGATATTTATTCCAGAATCCTTCTAGAGATAGTTCAGATGCGACCCAAATATGGCTAAAATTCTGATACTTATTCCAGACTCCTTCTAGAGATAGATCAGATGCGACCCAGATATGGCTGACATTCTGATACTTATTCCAGACTCCTTCTAGAGATAGTTCAGATGCGACCCAGATATGGCTAACATTCTGATACTTATTCCAGATTCCTTCTAGAGATAGTTCAGATGCGACCCAGATATGGCTGACATTCTGATACTTATTCCAGATGCCTTCTAGAGATAGTTCAGATGCGACCCAGATATGGCTGACATTCTGATACTTATTCTAGATTCCTTCTAGAGATAGTTACGATGCGACCCAGATATGGCTGACATTCTGATACTTATTCCAGATGCCTTCTAGAGATAGTTCAGATGCGACCCAGATATGGCTAACATTATGATACTTATTCTAGATTCCTTCTAGAGATAGTTCAGATGCGACCCAGATATGGCTGACATTCTGATACTTATTTCAGAATCCTTCTAGAGATAGTTCAGATGCGACCCAGATATGGCTGACATTCTGATACTTATTCCAGATTCCTTCTAGAGATAGTTCAGATGCGACCCAGACATGGCTGACATTCTGATACTTATTCCAGATGCCTTCTAGAGATAGTTCAGATGCAACCAAAATATGGCTGACATTCTGATACTTATTCCAGATTCCTTCTAGAGATAGTTCAGATGCGACCCAGATATGGCTGACATTCTGATACTTATTCCAGATTCCTTCTAGAGATAGTTCAGATGCGACCGAAATATGGCTAAAATTCTGATACTTATTCCAGACTCCTTCTAGAGATAGTTTAGATGCGAACCAAATATGGATGACATTCTGATACTTATTCCAGACTACTTCTAGAGATAGTTCAGATGCGACCCAGATATGGCTGACATTCTGATACTTATTCCAGATGCCTTCTAGAGATAGTTCAGATGCGACCCAGATATGGCTGACATTCTGATACTTATTCCAGATTCCTTCTAGAGATAGTTCAGATGCGACCCAAATATGGTTGACATTCTAATACTTATTCCAGACTCCTTCTAGAGATAATTCAGATGCGACCCAGATAGTATTCCAGACTCCTTCTAGAGATAGTTCAGATGCGACCCAGATATGGCTGACATTCTGATACTTATTCCAGATGCCTTCTAGAGATACTTCAGATGCGACCCAGATATGGCTGACATTCTGATACTTATTCCAGATTCCTTCTAGAGATAATTCAGATGCGACCCAGATATGGCTGACATTTTGATACTTATTCCAGATTCCTTCTAGAGATAGTTCAGATGGGACCCAGATATGGCTGACATTCTGATACTTATTCCAGACTCCTTCTAGAGATAGTTCAGATGCGACCCAGATATGGCTAACATTCTGATACTTATTCCAGATTCCTTCTAGAGATAGTTCAGATGCGACCCAGATATGGCTGACATTCTGATACTTATTCCAGATGCCTTCTAGAGATAGTTCAGATGCGACCCAGATATGGCTGACATTCTGATACTTATTCCAGATTCCTTCTAGAGATAGTTCAGATGCAACCCAGATATGGCTGACATTCTGATACTTATTCCAGATGCCTTCTAGAGATAGTTCAGATGCGACCCAGATATGGCTAACATTATGATACTTATTCCAGATTCCTTCTAGAGATAGTTCAGATTCGACCCAGATATGGCTGACATTCTGATACTTATTTCAGACTCCTTCTAGAGATAGTTCAGATGCGACCCAGATGTGGCTGACATTCTGATACTTATTCTAGATTCTTT